TTTATGACACTTGGAGCTCTCCTTTTCACCCATTTCACCTTTCACCATTTCACCTTTCAGGTCTGTGAAGGGAAGGCTAGGATTTTTTGAAGAAGATATCGCAGGAGTCTTCTGTGTTTGTGTTTTTGTTTGTTTGATTTTGGTTTGTTTGGTGTTTTTTTGTCATTTGTTTGGTGGTTGGTTTTGTTTGAGTTTTGTTGTTGGGTATTTTTCTTCCTTTTCTTTTGCTATGCAGGTAGCAGAAACTAAAATCCAGAACAAAGAAAACTGCAAACCATAATGTCCATGTCTTGCCAAGGTGGATGGTGAAGTTTCCGAATGCAGTGTTGCTTTTTAGATCGCAAAATGATGACTTATAACTGACTTTGTATCATAGCAACATATCAATTAGTATCTCACAGCTACCTCTTAACCAGAAGTAATCCAAACACAGATAGAAAGAGGTGTCACGTATTACAGATACTTATGCTTTTGTATGGCTCTCTTGTTCAATTGAGACATAAGGACATAAATTTTTATAATCCTTGACAGTAAGCTGTTTAGAAAAATTGCTAATCTTTTCCACCTCCTTTGCCAGTTGTCAAAACTATCATGATAATAACCTACTGCATTAAAGAAGGTTAATTTTATAGTTAAAATCCCAGGCTAGAATGTTTCCATTACTTTGCTGCGGAATGCTCACATGGATTTAGGGTAATCTGCTAAATCTCTTCACCTCATTTTTTTTACCTGTAGATGAGAGAAAGGCTGGGCTTTTAGCTACTCAGAACATTTGGCTTGTGTCTTAGTGGGGGCATAGGAACAATACTTCAGTACAAATGAATTGTTTCTGTCGTGAAAGAAATGCTGGTTTAAACAATGAATTACTATTTTTACAGTCCTAATTGGCACCTTCACCTAAGGTAGCAATGCTGTATTCACAGAATGTACGGCAGAATGGGCCCCTGTATTGTTTTGTGTCATTTCACTAAAGCTTTTAAAGTCTTGTCTTGTAATTGCTGTTCTGTGACACTAACTGAGTAGTAGATTTCTAATGTTTAAATATTACTACTAATCTGAACCTTTTTTCCCTTTGGTTTGCATAAAAGCATGGAGTGAAACCGTAACTGAGGATTATTTGAGGGAATTTTACCAATTAGAATTGCATGAGAATTCAGGCTTCAAAGCTGTCATCTGTCCCATCCCCTTCTCAGGTGCTGGAGGTTTCAGTAGCTTCGGATTTCACAGTTGTCTTAAATATCTGACTTACTCTAGATAGAGATCTTTGGGATAACATTCTGGGGTCAAATTTTGTAGTCCTGCATGTGTCTGGGCAGGTTTTCTGCTTCTACCAGCAGAATTTGGCCCTCATCTGAAGTCTAATCTTTCATGTCCTTCTCATGTAAATGAGTTTAGTTGGCTCCAGTGGATGATCTGCTTGTGTGAATGAGAACTGAGTTGTGCCAATGCGTCTTTAAACCACGAGTTCCAAGAGAGTGGACTTGGGGTTTCTCTTACATACGTTAGATACAAAGTTTATAGGTGTTGGGGTTTTCACTGAATAGTTTCGGGGAGAAAATTAGAAGGTTTTGAATGAGCAGTGATTTAAAGTATTGAAGCTGTTTGTGCGTTGTGTGAAGGCAGTCACCTATAGCCCTCACCAACATGACAGTATAACTAGAGCTCTGTGTATTTGAAAACGCTGTTTAGTTGCTAACATTGCGATGGTAAAGTATGTTTGTGTATCAAGATCTCTGTTCTTCAGTTATTGAGGATGCCATTAGGTTTGGGGTGTAAATAAGAGACTTGGGAAAGAATGCCATGCAATGCATCCCTCCCTTGAAACTGGAGCAGTGGAAATTTGTGTAGAAGAGCAACATGACACAAATGCTTGATTTTGTTTGTGCAAATGAGAAGGTCTTTGTGATGCAAAGCAGCAGCCTGAAAAGGCAAATGTGCTTTTTTGGTTGTAAATATCCCAGCTAAATACTGCAGTAATTGCAAGCAGAGCTTGGCATTTCTCCTCTCTATTCTTTTCATCGTTGTATTTTAACAAGTTCTCATGAGACTATTAAAACATCTTAGTTTTTGGAACATGTGGCCTAGTGGGGATAACTCTGTCTACAGATGCAGTGGGTTGGCAGCTCGATTTTTGCATGTCTTTTCATTTCCCTTCAGATCCTGTGACCCAGCGTAACCTTTGGTCTCCCTCTGAAGGCTGGGTTGAAGAAAGTATGAGCAGGTGACTGATGATCACTGTCAATACAGCCTGCAGACAATATGGGAATTACTTTAGCAGTCTCCCACTCCCTTGTGCTCCCCCCATCCTCTCTTAAATCAACAAATGCAAATAGGAGTCTCCTCATTTGCTGCTATCTCTGGGAGGCTGCCCAGGCAGCATGGGCTTTGTTGCAGTCCTGCCTATTGAAAAAAGCAGCTTCAGCCCTAGGCAGAAGAAAGAATATCAAATGGGACCTGATTCCCCCCCTTAATGGTTAATGCTGCTAATATTTGGTCCTCTGGAGTATACAGGTAGGAAGATACTAAGATAAGGGTACTTGATGTGTGTGGTTCAAGAGGGCAGCCTGAAGTGGTTGGAGCTGTTTTCATTGTTACTCTTTGTCCGATAAATGTCCTTCTGGAAGGCAACAGGAATTACCCAGTGTCCCAAAACTCATACCTGTGCTCCTAGAACCTGTTGACTTTGCGATTAGCTGTGTATTTAACCTTAGCTCTGTCTTTACTGTGTGAGAACAGAAATGCGTTTATTAGATTTCAGCATAGGCAGGGGCACAAAGGATTTGTGAAACGTTTCTTTTGCAGGTCATGATTGTTCTGTTAAATGCATAGTTGTATAGCACAAATAAAAATAGCTTCATTTTGCATTAGTGCAAGCGTTATACAGGATGCAATATGTCGTACTAAATTGTACAGCATTCAGTTGGTAGTGTTTTGCTTTCCAGACGTATGGCTTAATGCAAGGTGTCATTCAGCAATTCAGAGATCTCAGAGTAATGTTATGCCAGCGTTTGGTTAAAATTCCGTTCATCTTATTTTAAGCTGTCAGTGCATATGAGAGCAAGTTTTGGCATACATAAATAAAATGAAAGTGATCACTTTGCACATCCAGGAGGTGGTCCTTCTCAGATACCTAGGGATATCATGTCTGTATTTGATGTATTAGGATTGCAGGCAGTTATAATGAAGAGATTTTTTTCTGAACTGCCATCAGAAAGATTAGTAACAGAATCAAATAGCAATGTATGTGAATGCTCCTACAGCTTTTAAAATGTGTGTCGGTAGTACTTGTATTTTGTCAGAAGCCTGCTTGCAGTGTGTATTTCATCTTACTGTGACATTCTCTGTTGCAAATACTTAATAACAGTGCACTCCCGAATAAAAATTCCAAGTTAAAGGAACAGTTGTAAAGCTGGCTGCTGGGCTGTTAAGGTGAATATCACTCATAGAGCTAGACGTTAAAACTGTTACTCAATCTGTAACTATGTTCTTTTCTCAAGGTCTCATTTCAAATGTGTCTTTGGGTTTTATTTCATGTTTTATTTGCCTCCCAGGAAGCCTCAACATACTAATATTTTAGGAGAAGAAATATTCCAAATTCACAAAAATCCTGGAAATTAATTATTGGCGGCCCCCTATGCTTCGCTTTCAGTCTGCAGTAGTGCTTTGGATCAGGCACTGGTGAATGGTACAGTCGAAGTCCACTTGAGCCCTCACTTGCAAAACTTCGAAGTTGTGTCACATTAAGTTCTAGTACCTAGGGCTAGGGGGAATCATGGGAGTTTCATCATCAGGAAGATACAAAAGCCTGTAGTGGGGACAGTGTGATACTAGAAAGCCATCTGATTATAGTCTAAAGGTTCAAATTATCTCAACTCTATTGTGTGATCCTCTGCTATCGCTCTCACAAGGATGGTTTGCTGTCACAACATCTCCCGTTTTCATTTTCAACTTACCTCTTCCTCAATTGATCTATCTGCTTGCCAGCAGTCAGATCAACAAAACAGAGTATTTGTTGTATTTTTGGACTTAATAATTGCGTTTCGTTGACCGCAGGTGCTGCTGTAGCATGGTGTGGTACATCTCTGCATTGAGGGTATGTCCTAATCTGTGGGTTCTGTTTGATATCCTTCTGGTGTTTTAATCTCTCCATTGTGAAGGGAATTATTAAAACAAAATAATCATTATTACTTTAGAGAATAGTGTGCTGTATGGAAAACATTACAAACTAGGAAGTTCTATCCAATGAATTCTGATTATGTCTTGCAGCTTTATACAAGGTTATAATACAGTCACATCATATACATATTAGATCAATTTTGTATTGGGATAGGTGATTCAACAGAGAACTGGCTCAGTGTTATGACTGAATTTTAAATGGTACTTTGTGTTTGATTTTTGGAAGTCCTTCTTGCAAATAAAATTTTAACTCTGAATAGCTCCAGGTAGAAAAATCTGGGTATAGTTATGTGAATTTAAGTTTCTAAACAGGCATTTCAGATAAATATTCATGATACATTTCCTATCATTAGTTTCTCCTCATTAGTGGGATGATTTTCTTTGTTACTTTTTAGCTCCCTAGAAGTAGTTGGCATGTCTTGTAATTGTGGAAACTGCTCTTAGAGAATGGATATATTGCGAGCTCTATAATTTTTGAAGTATTTTGAATGCCTTCTTGATGAATGGCACTTTATAAATATCATAGTTAAATTATAGGAAGCATTTATAAGGTGAGTGGATTAATTATTTTTTATTTGTTTGAATGTTTTTTCTTAGGAAAGGCACTCTAAAAGAACAGGTATAAAGAGTTCTGTCTTTGGATTTAATAAAGTTCTGTAGTTACATGCCAACCACTTAAGTTCAAAATATCCAAGTATATTTATTTTACATTGTAAATTGTGCACTACATTTTTTTTTTTAAACCTTTGTTAGAAAAGTTTCTTTCCATCATTCATTTTGAGGTTTTTTCCCCCCCCCTCCCTTTTGTTTTTGTTTTTCCTCAGTTTCCATTACAAAGAGCAGTGCAAAAATCCAATCTTCCCCTTCCAAAGTGACCCGGCGTTCAATGCAGTCTCCACAGAAATCTGCTCCGGTACCAGCGCAACAGGGCAGGAAACCAGGTCGGGGCAAACCCCCTGGACAGTCTGCAGTTCCCAAGAAGGGCAGGTCTCCTAAAAATATTCCCCTGACAAAAAGCATCTCTCATACTGAAAATCTTAAAACAAGGAAAAAAAGTTTAAAACCTGGAAAAAAGGTTAGTCCTTATCTACTACTTTACTTCTTACTGAAAAATTTTGTAGTGAGACTTTTTTTTTTGTTACCATTTCATTTTCTGTCTTCTTTTAAGCCTTTAGGGCTTTACTGTTTTCAGCAACTGATTACAAGAAAAGTCTAGAATAGCTATTCTGGAATATGTCAGTATAAACTTCTATGGATTATTTCATTCCAGAGCAAGATTACTGATTTGTTTATGGATGAGTTGCTGGTGTTTAATATTCTGGAATAGCCATTTCCAGTAAAATTACAAGAGCCAGGAGAGCCTTCAGACTTTTTAGTCTGGGTTGTTTTTGGTACTGAATCATATATATAGTTTGAATATTTTTCATTTTTTTGTTTGTTTCATGTTTGGAAACAAGGGATTAAGAACAGTGAGTGATTTGTTGCAGAATTTAGGCATTTTAAGCATACAGCTGAATTTGCCAACTGAATCTCTAATTGTGAAGTTACTAGCATGAAGCAAGAAGCTTCTTTCCAGGCAATACATTTCTCCAGGTGTTGGGACTAATTCTGCCCTGGTCTGAAAGACAAGATGACTTTCTGCCTTTCTCCCTGCCAAGCTGCATCAGATCTAGAGTGCTGGCAGCTGCAGCTTCAGCTCCTCTGGAGTTGTTTGATAAGGTAAAAATGAGCACTGCTGTAAACCCCCCTTCCCAGTCCCATGTGACACCAAAACTGGTGGCTATATAATCCCAGAATGAGCTACTTGAGGGAGCTAAACTTGTAGACAACTGACACAGCATCCATACCTCTTATTATCTTCTTTGCCTGCTCCACCCCAAAAAAGCACAAAAGCTACATTTGCAGCAAGGAATGATAGGATCACAGCGGGGCACATTTATGGCAACTTGAACTGCTGTGGAAGTACAGTCTTTTTTCTGAGGCTTCTCACCCAGTGCAGGCTGCCAAAGCGGAGTAACAATCCTGCGATGTCCTTCCCTAAATGATTTGTGTCTGTCCTTATGGTCCTCCCTCCTTTGCATTAGCACCAGTGGGGGCATGGGGGGCATTGTGTTTTCTGAGTTTGTTTTGAGTTTGGGGTTTGGTTTGGTTTGGTTTGGTTTTTTTCCTCCCTCCCCATCTCAAATTTCAAAAAGTTGTATTTTGGAAATTTTTTGTGTGGGATCTATTGCTAGTTATGTGTGGAAAAGGGTAGGTTAGTGGCACTCTTTTAATAGGGCATTATTAGGGCATACCCAGAAGGCTGTAGCACAAAACTGGGAGCAGGCACTTTGTTGAAATGATGACCACAAGGTAAGAAATGTTTCTTGGGACCAGAAATTGAAAGCCAAGTGCTGTCTCTACTACCTGCCCCTTCCAGTCAGACATCCACATTGGTAGGCTACTGATGTAAATGGTCTCCAGCTCTCTTGCTTGATGTGTATCAAAGTGCAGAGAGACATGAATTAAAGAGGAGAAAGGTGCTCCCATCCAGACTCATCTGGTAGATGGGGTGTTCTCCAGAAATCAGAGGGGGCTTTAAAGAACACAGGACATCTGTATTTTAAGGGGTTACTGCTGACACTCCCTTATCTTGAGGCAGTGCATCTGAGGTACCTGTATGCACACAGATGTCCTCTGTGGGACAAGGCAAACAAGAGTTAGGTTTTGCAGAATCTAAGTTTGATATGTCTAACTTGGGAGGTTTACTCCCATTGACTTTTGCAATAAAAGCTTTAAAAATTAGCTCTTGTTGAGAATGTTCCATGGATGTTGTTACTGCTTTGGTACGTGGTTAAATTGCTGAGATGTTATACATACGTGCAAAATCTTTGGACTCTTACACCTGTTTGCGTAAGAGAGGGGATGGAGGTTTGTGGGAGTTCTGCGCAAAAGTGAGTGTCAGATGGAATGCCATACAGCCTGTTGTCCAGAGACGCTGTGGCTGCCCCATCCCTGGCAGTGTTCAAGGCCAGGTTGGACGGGGCTTTGAGCAACCTGGTCCAGTGGAAGTTGTCCCTGCCCATGGCAGGGGGTTGGAACTGGATGAGCTTTAGGGTCCCTTCCAACCCAAACCATTCTATGACTCTGTGATAAATACTATGGAAATGGTATATGTGTAGAAATTTGAAAGTGCTTTTTTCCCTCCCAAGACTGATCAAAAAACCTCCCTCCAGCTTTCACGCTAAGCAATTGTGCTTTGAAGTGTTAGCTGGCTATGTGGTAGTCAAAAAACTGTGTTTAGGGAGATTGGTCTATACCTGATACTCTGTAGAGATGTTTGACTTTCCTTGTCCTTTTACGCTTGTTATGCTGCAATGTTTATCATTGTGCAGGTATTAATTTTTGTTATACAGCTAGGAATATTGAGCTGTTGAGTCATCCTTCTTCTTTACTTAAGTTTTCTAAGCTTCTCTGTCAGTGTGAGTTGCATGTCAGGTTTTGTTTTGTGTTTGTCTCCCCCTGTTTGCACTGTATGTTTTTATTCTGTCATAATGAAGAAGAAATCTATCTCTTTCACCTTTTTTTAAAAGTACATAACAACACAGAGAATTCCTTCCAGAATTTTTTGAGGAAGTGCTTTGGTCTGAGTGTGGGTCATAACCCTAAATTTGATCCCACAAGAGGAGACTTTCTTTTCTGGCTCTCAGTATTAAGGATGGAGAGAAACCTTTCTTAATCCAGTGTTAAGATACATAGGCAATTCCTGATGAATAATACATCACTGCTTAGTTCAGTGTCTGACCTGAGCCACCTCATCTCATTCACAGTGCAATGCCAAGCCTTGGCAGTTACGGCGATTCCACCCAGTGCCATATTGTCAAGTAGCTTCTCCAGCCAAACCTGTCTTCTCTGAACTGTAAGAAGGGGCACAAAAATTTTCTTTAAGTTTTCATGGATTCCAGAAGAAAGCTAATTTATTCTTTTTAAGTGTTTTTTTAGATGTTATGAAGAAGTTAGGCACTGCTGCTTTCAGGAAGGTGTAAATTTTGTTTGCTTTCTACATGTAGTTTAACATATTATTTGGAAATATGCTGCTTCTAAAAGAGTAAAGGATGGCTACTGCTAAATGGAAGAGGGCTTAGCCTTCCTTAGCAGCTTGACTGAATTTTCACTCCACTGTAGATTACTTTTACCAGTAAACCCTTACCACATGAGTAGTAAAGTGTCTGCAGTCTTCAGCAGTGTCAAGATCTTGGGTAATCTCTTAGATTCCTTTTTTTTTTTCTTTTTTGGTAGATAAGAGAATGAGAACATAATCTGTTCCCATGCAAGAATAAATGATGAAGAGTGAGGTGATGAACTTCTTTCTAATTCATTATTTCTTTTATTTCCATATGTAGCACCTTAAAACACATTAGAAACACCTTCCTTGTGCGTGTCTCTTTTCTAAACCCCAGTCCAAACCATGTTACAATAAAATTCTTTCTTCCTCAGGTGAAAAATAATGCACTGACCAATTTCTAAATCTCTGTGCTGCAAACTCTGGTTGTTACATGATAAGTTGCAAATAAGTTTAGTTTGGGAAGGGAAAAGATTTTGGAACTCACTTGACTTGATTGTAACTACTGGTTTATTTGATATCTTGTGTAAAGCACCAGTTCCTGAAAGTGATTACTTGAAAATTTCGGCCCCTTTGAAACAAGCTGAGGGAAAATCTAAGTGCGCTGTAAAGTTCACACCTAGATGTGGCTCACGTTTTACATGGGAATATACACATAGTCCAGCTAACTGCTTTGAGCTGTGATAAACCCGGATGATTGGAAGGGTATGGACAGGAAAAAAATCCAAAATACCTCCGGTGCTTTGTGAGATTTAGAAGAGTCACGAATTAGTATATAAAGCTCATTCTTTTCCCACTTCTCAGAAGTGGGTTCCTTTTTAAGTAATTTGTGTTCTGCTGTCTTACTTAAGTAGCTGTAAATGCAAACTGACAGTTTCTGGTCTTCCTTTCCTGGACTTTTATCTGCTGTGTGTAGTACTTTTGTAATAATGAACCACACACATTCAGTAAGATGGTAACTGATAGCAGAAAGGTTTTGCAGGCTCCTTAAAATGCATTCAGTGTTTTGATTTTGGGTTGTTTTTGGTTTGTTTTTTTCCCTCTAAACAGAAAAAAATCCTGCCAGAACAATTGACTCCTGCATCTCCTTCTCCTCATTCTTCTCCTGAGAGGGACGGTGGCACTACACAGATACTTAAAGATGAAGTTAGTTTGTCTGGTGCAACTGCAACAGTTATATCCACAGGTAAAAGACAAAGGAAAAAACATTATGATATTTTTAGTGCTAAATGGCATCCGTTTCAAGCAAGTGAATGTGCTGCAAAGTTCTTACTGTAAATCACTATCTAGCGACCTTATTTTTTAAAGGCATTTATTTGTAGGTGCCAGTATTACTTAGCGGAACTACTATTTTGATGCTTCTGTTATAGCAAGAAGTGCTGGAGCACAGGGACTTGTGATAGGTCTGCTAGACCTGGCAGTTTGTTCCTGCTTGAAGAAGGAAACTACAGTTATTTCATGTCTGTCCCGCTCCTTAATATATGAAATGGGAATAGATGCAGCTAAAACCCCATATGATATTCTGGTATCATGCAGGCTGTAGTGTAATATAACAAAATGGAGATTTTTGTCTCTGTATATCCTTACCTTAAAAGAAAAAATCAAGACTGTTTAAACCAAGTAAAGGCAATCAGTGGAAATACATTCCTCTTTCCTCTTATGTTTGCTTGTTTTTGAAAGATAATGAAATGTGTCTTGAAAAGGGTTGGTGAAAGAGAAATAATCTAGCAAATGAACTAACTCATTTAGTAACTTGTAACCCCATAGTGAAACAATTTGTATGTTGTTAACTGAAATCTTGTAACTTTATAAAACCTCCATAAGTTATGATAGTTTTGTTTGGGGTGCTTTTTTTTGCATTTAAAAACTGTTTTTACAAGCTCTTCTCACTCTTGACTTCAGTCATGGATGAGGGAAAAATATGTATGCGTTTCCTAAGAATATAAACCTTTCAGGAGGCAGATGTTGTTGAGCCCAGAGAGAAAATGCATGGAAACTATTTGTGCTGATTTGTATCTTTGGTTATTTGTACACATAGGCTTCCTCCCATTTGCAAACATCAGAGAGTGAGCAGATACATGTGAAGACATAAGATCATTAAAATACAGAAGTATTTCATTTTTAAAAATCCAGGGTTTTAACTAAGCCCAAGTAATACTACAGTATAGAAAATATGGTTATCTGTTTTCAGTTACAATGATTTTCCCCTTGCAGTTCCTTTTTCTGCCTTGCAGTCCCTTTTGAAGGAGAGTTTTGAATAGTCTCTATAAAACTAATTTCAGAAGTCCTGTTTCACTGGTTTGTGCTAAGGCTTAAACCACCTTACAGTGTTTCTAGAAAAGTGTTTGTTTAGTGAAGGCCAAATTGCAGCGTGGAAATCATACATCAGTGCTTCAGCGCTTCTTAAGGTATGGACTTTCAGTAACTATTATACACGCACACAGGGCAATAAAACATGCACAGGTTGCTACTACGTGGGTGCTTCAGGATGAGCATCAGTGATAGATATATACCATAGGGTTGCAGCTTCTCAAATAGGAGAAAAAATAGAACAGTAACTTGGTAAGGCCATCTTTTTAGAATCACATCTTGTTAGTTTACAGTACCTGCCAGTAATTCTTACTTTACCTGAACTAGTATATGAACAGGGATTAGTCAAAACAAAAGATAAGCACAGTTTATGACATCTTTGCTACATTAGTGGGGTAGAAAAGGGCTTTAAAATCAGAGTGTGTTAGGACTGAGGCAGGAGAACCTTGGTAGAAGACAGAGCACTTTTTGCATGCTCTGGAAGTATGTATGCATGTTCAGCTTCTTGAGTTGTCCAGTACATCTTTTCCTCAAGGTTAAAAATATGGTTCCTTGGCAATAAATATGTCGTGTTATTTTTCAGTGTGTGTTTATGTCAACAAGCATGGGAATTCAGGGCCTCACCTGGATAAGAAGAAGGTTCAGCAGCTTCCAGATCACTTTGGACCAGGTCCTGTCAACGTGGTACTTCAGCAGGCAGTACAGGCTTGTGTGGATTGTGCCTATCAATCCAAAACAGTCTTTGGATTTCTGAAATCTGGCCATCACGGAGGGGAAATGATAACTGGTATGTGAAGATGCTTTGTTTCTTGTGTTTCTTCAGCTGGTTGTGAACTTGAGACAGGGCAGAACAACTGAAGTAGCTGCAAGGAGTTTGTATAACTTCTGTAACTATTTAAGAACAGTCAAGAACATATACTTGTGAACTCCTTTACTAAGAGAGTATTGGTCCTGTGTGATTTATCTTACTCTGGGACCAGGATGATTTCAACAATTCTTTAAATTAGAATTTAGTATTAGCAGTATTAAGTTACTTATGATGATACACACAGTTACATATACAATTACATATATGATATACACATAGATTCTTGTACTAAGCAGAGCTTGTGCACCTCATTTAGCAGCTGTAGCCAAACATATGTCAAGTAAACTCAGTATGAGTGAAATAATCAGCTTTATTAATTCAAGTCTTTTGCATAATCGTACCCATACATAGTGTTTGTATTCTTAATGCCTTAACCAAGTGGGTGACAAGTTTCAAGCTAATCTGTTTAGCTTCCAGGCAAGTGATTCCCCATGTTAAAGTTGCCGCTTCTTCCCTTCTTGCATATTCCAGAATTGTAGCAGTATCTTGGGTCACTGTCCATCCACCTATGTCCGCTATTATGGAATAGGTTTATTTCTATTACATATTAATGGCAGGTCTACAAATAAATTATTTCTACATCTCAAACTGAATAGCTGCTTCTTCCCATTTCTTTTTCTTCTAGGCTATAGCAGTTAGCACATCAATTCATAATTCCACCACTGGTGATAAAAAAATGTTGTGTTACTTTTAATCTCCTTATATTAACACCAGATGTGAAACATGATTAGTAGAGTACAAGTTCAATTAAATACTCATAAAGATGTTGCTGTCTAACAATATTTAAAAAGCAGCACCCTGACCCACATGCAGCAGAACTACAGTAAGCCTTGCTTGTGTGCTCCCATGAGTTTGTTCACAAAATGGATGCAGCTTCTCTGCTGTGTGGTAAAGGTTTAATGGCTTTGCATATGTTTGGTTTTGAAACCTATATTGCTTTATTTTTGCGAGATAAATGAAAGTTCCTTGCTGTACCAAATTCAGAGAAGCAATTTTTCTAGAACAAAGTGCTCAGAGATGTGTGTTTCCTCTATTGTTTATTTATCATGAAGGACTAAATTGTAGGTCAGTGGCATATCTGGTCTGTGACTGAGCAGTTGAAAATAATTCTTTCACAGAGGAGAGAGAAATTTCAGAATCTTAATGCAGTTGTAGTTTGCTTACATTCAAAAATTCTGTATGAAAAGGAATTACTGTTCTGCACCTGGCTTCACCCAAAGGCCTTGATTCAGAGCAACTGGCTTTGTAGCCCTGGAGTTGAGGAACTTAGTGCTTTGGACTGCTCCTGAAGCAGAGTCCTGGTCCAGGTAGTAGTGAGGTACAAGACCTCACTGGGTTTCTGGTATTCTTAAGTCCCTGCCTTTTCATCAGCCTGTCAAACAGGTTGCTGGGAAGCAGGTGAGAAAATGCTCCCTGTCATTTTATCAAAAGTTTGTGTGTGTTTTATTTTGAGAAGCATAAAATGTGACTTAGGTTAATGTAGCACATGACAACCAGCTGTGCGTGTGAACAGTAAGGAAGGAAAGGAAAGCTTCCGTAGAATAAAAAGGGGAATTATACAATGAAATTGTGCGAGTGTTTTCTTATGGAGCTTTTGTTTGCAAGTGGTTTTGGAGTGTGATTTGTGCAGTTGTTTGGGGTTTTTTTTTTAGACTGGCAAGAAAAAAAATATTGCAACAGAGAATAAGCAAGGAAATCTAAATCTTTTGTGGACTGATACTTTCATGATGAGTATTATACCTGCAGTAGGAGGAAACTGTATGCTGATGAGGACGTGGACAAAATAATCTTGCTAGAACACATGTCAATAATTAGTGGGTTCTTTTGGTTCAGCTGCCAAAGAAAATAATAAATTTTTGAATAGAAATGAATTTAGGATTTTTCCATCTTTTCTTACTCAAACAAAAGCACAAACCATTTTATTTTTGCTTGATGCGTAAGGTTTCAATTCAGGCAAATATAACTGAAAGGAAATTGAAGGCTTGATTAGCAAGCCCACTAATGGTGGTGGTGTCAGCCCCTTTTTTTCTCCTTATAGTGCAGAGACTATGGCGTTTGGTGGGATGGAATAGACTGAGGCTCAGATAAACCTTCTCAAGCAGAGCATTAAAATCAGACTCTTGGGTGAGTTTCTTCACTGTCAGACACACACATTTCTCTGATAGTTTAGCCCTCAGCCTTTCTCCTGTCCTGAACCTCGTATTTAAAACATACTTGCACAATAGAAGGTGAAGAAATAAGAAGACTCTTCATCCTGGGGGCTGGGATTGTACATGTGAGCTCCATTCCCTGTTTACTTGTCATTGAAGGCTGAGGTTACTGCACCTCTGAAGTACTCCTTTTAATTTTTTCCCTTAGCATTTGTCTGGGCTGTAAGAGGCTTATGTTGTCCCCAAGCTAAGCAGATAGTTGAGCATATAGATCTGGATCCCACACCCTTGGCTGGAGTTCATATGGTTGCCCCTAGGTGTTCAGAGTACAAGGGAGCTGTGTTTGCACTGAATCTTTATTTGTGGATTTTTCCCATGGCATGTCTTGCTGGGGCAGTCTCATTGCCTCAGCTGTTCCTTGCTTTACCCTCCTGACAACTCTAAGATAATATTTTTCTTTTCAGTGCTTCTTTTCAAAATGAGAAATTAAGGCATGGAGAATAAGTGATTTCCCCAAGGTCATATAAGAAGATCCATAAAGCTATTATAAAGCATTTTAAATTTTTGCTGTAGCTGCCTACTACCTTGCAGTAAATTTGTCAGGGGATCAGGCTGAGCTAGGTCTCACAGCCCATTTGCTCTCCAGAACTGGTTGAGTTCCAAGCAAAAATTGGCCTTTAGAGACCCCTTCACCAAACAGGACGTAGAGGGCCTTGTATCTGAGCCACATGTGGGACTGTGGATCATTAGTATTTCATTTGAACATTGGAGCCTGGAAAAACCGAATGGGCCATGGAAACTCATTGGTCTGGGATTTGTCCCTGTAGTACTGACTCTTAAACTTTAAGCACTTGCAGTGGGTCAGTCTGTCATGAAAGCAGATGAGAGAGGTACCATGTTGTTGTTGATGGTATCTGGTTAACTTTCATTAACTCTAATCAGAAACTTCCTTACATCAGTGGTGTAAGTAATTGACACGATTTCATCAGGAAGCCTAAAATATGCTAAACTTCAGCATTTTCTTCAGTTTTGTGTATATTATCTGTCTCTTTTATAACACAATATGGAAGTGTTCCTTAACTCAGATCTGTGAATAAAGGCTTTCTTGTCATTTCTGGTTTGGATTTTTTTTTTGTGTGTTTCTTTTTCTTCCTTTTTTTTTTTTTTTTAATGCATCTGCTACCAACAAGATGTGATCCTTTAAAGCTCTGCTTATCATTTGGAAACTTACATTAACAACAGAAAGCTGCATGACAAGCTGAAAACCAAGAAGACAAATTGATGTGTAAACCTGGTGTTTATGCCACTTCCTTCTAGCCCTGAGATTAAGTAACAAGTTTGTTCCTGCTTTGTTGTAATGTCTTTCTAATCAGAAGTAACTAAAAGTTTCAGCTAATATAATTACTTAGTGTAATTAATGAAATTGATGTAACTATTTGTCCATATATTGGTAGTAGTGAGTCTTTCAAAATAATCTTCACAAAAAAAAAAAAAAAGAAAAAAGGAAAATATGGTCAGTTGCAACACTCTGGGAGGGAAAGGAAGGAGGTCAACAAGCAAAGGACATAGGCACATGTCCAGGCTCTTTGTAATCACTCACTTTAAAAGACACAAGATCCATTTGTGGCTGTTGTGGTATCTCTGACACCTAGCTCCTGTTGAAATAAATGGGAGCTTGACCACTGTAGTGTTGACAGCAGGATAGATTTCTCTAGCGATAAAGTAGCAAATGGCAAAACAGTTTCTGTAGTCAGAATTTCAATGGTAATGGATTCCAGCATGTCACCACGAGTATGCTCAGTTCAGTTAGAAACTGAGGAAAGAAAAAAAGAAATCTAAAAAGTTGTTTGCTTCCTTCCCCCACCCCCCTTTTTTTGTATTACTTTTTTAGCAAGTACTGCAAAGCGTCTTTTTGGTGTTATCTCCTGCAAGTAGGTGGTGGTAAAACTTGCTGTTTTATAAGCAACCAGCAGAAATTACTCCTAAGGTTTTGTTGATGAGGGAATAGTTGCAAGTTTTGTTATGCTGGTGTGTGAATCCAAAATTATTTTATCAAAATAAGTTCCCATAGAGAAAATTTAAACTGGCATGGAAGGTAAAATCTGTCCTTTGGATGTAAATTTGTTAAACTACCAGAATGATTGCTTACGCCTCTCATGTCTTGTGCGGTTTAAATCAAATCTGTATGTCTTCTCCTTTAAGTTAATAATGGTATTTTACCATACTTCATGATGCTTGGGGGGTGTTTGACATCATCTTCTTATTCACAGCTTCCTTTGATGGGGAAAAGCATGCCATCAATCTTCCTTCTGTAAACAGTGCATCGTTTGTCCTGCGCTTCTTGGAGAAACTCTGCCACAGCCTGCAGTGTGATAATCTCTTTAGTAGCCAGCCCTTCAGCCCTTACATGGGATGTGCACATAGTCCTATGGAATATGATAGGAACAAACCAGGTACTGTTAAAACAACTGTTATTCTCAAGTGCTGATATTTTTGAGAAATGTGGTGACTTCATCACATGTAACTTTTTAATCTATCTTTCTATGACGTGAGTTGATTGAAATGAATACGCTTCAGTTCTTAGTGAATTGGTTCCAGCGTCATAGTGCTTTTACAGGATGTGATAGCTTATACCACATGTGCAAAAATCATTTTGTTCAGCTAACCCCTCCTTGTAGCCAAGCCAGGAAACATGTATTGTATCACTGTGATACTACTAAAAGGACAAACTCAAAACTTCACATTTTATTTGTAAAATTTATGTTCAGATCATAAAATAAACTTACAAAAAGATATTTACTGCCTTACGAGAAGGGCCTTCCCCTGAAAGAGTATTCAGTCTGGCCCTTCCCACATGAAAAAAAAGATGTTTCTTCCCTCTTCATTCACCTTACTCAGTGGTGGCTCCAAACTTTTTATATTCTACTGTGTACGGTCCAGCATTCTAGTAGAAAAGGTGGGTTTTTTAAGTGGCTGCTTTTGATACTTCATATGAGGCCAATAACTGTCTGCTGCACCAGGAGCGTAGAGTGAGGGCGAAATGAAGTAGCTTGTGCAAGATCTCCCATCAGGTTGTTTGCCAGGCCTGGTATTGCAAGTTCCAGCCTGAGGGTTACCAGGAGCCATAACAAAGAAAACCTTAATATCAGGGCAATTCCAGAAGACTCTTATTGGGTGTGAAGCTTCCTCACAGCTCTCTGATAGCTGAGTCTGTCTACTGGGTGTTACTGTAGAATTCCCCACCACTGCCTTTTCAGCAGGGAAATTATGTTTCTAATTCTGTCATATGAAGGTCATTAGTTTTACTTATTTATTTTTTATTTTCTTAGAAAAGTAGCTAGGGCCAAGGTAATTTGGGTGATGACAGTACAGAGTAAGCTGTATTTCTGCTTTGGAAGTTTGTATCAAAATGACTTGAGTCTGTGTGACCCAAGAAGCTGAACTGTAATGTGATGAATGTCTGATGTGTGTCTTTGCCTTTGTCCCCTGACTTTCTCCATGAGCACCGTTATGCTAGAATAATAGCTGGTGACTTTCCTCTTCACAGCAAAAGAAGAAATGCCTGAAAACAGGATTGCTAAACGATACTCTCAGGACTCTCCACCATATAGTGCTCCTCTTTCCCCTAAGCTTCCCAGAAATGATGCTCATCCATCTGAAGGTAATTACATTATGTCGGGATTATATATGAGGATTATTTATGGTTTCAGTATTTCCAATCAAAGAGGACCAAGTACAACATATGTGTCTGGTTTGTCTCTAGTCTTTGACAGGTCAGGGTGAAAGTACGTTAATTATTGATCACTGGCACAGATTTTGCACTTAGGAAAGATCTACTGCAAATTCCAGCAGTCCTTCTCCTAAACCTGCTAGTCTTTTTTTGTGAAGGGGCTCAGGCATATAGGTGACAGATGAAGCCTCCTGCTTCATATATGACAATTTAGCAGAAAACCAACTGCGTCAAAATGGGTTAGGAGATAAATTGGAAGCAACTCTTAATAACTCTAGGCTGGGGGCATTAAGTGAGTAAGGGTGTAGCTTGATGATACAATTCAGCTGAGTTTATGGCTAGTTGCCAGTGAAAAGTTGTTCTGCTTCTGCTTTCCTTGCCTCTTTGCCTCTGCAGTGGGTACCAGCCCCTCTGGCTGAGTGGTGAGCTGCACCAGTGCCCAAGTCCTTCTGCACAGGGCTGCTCTGAATCTCTTCTCTGCCCAGCCTGTAGCTGTGCCTGGGATTGCTCCGACCCAGGTGTAGGACCTTGCACTTGTCATGGTTAAACTTCATGAGGTTGGCATCAGCCCACCTTACAAGCGTGTCAAGGTCCCTCTGGATGGCATTTCTTCCCTCCAGCACATCAACCGAACCACACAGCTTGGTGTCATTGGCAAACTTGCTGAGGGCGCACTCAATCCCACTGTCCATGTCACTGATGAAGATGTTGAACAAGACCGGTCCCAACACCAATCCCTGAGAGACACCACTCGTTACTGGTCTCCAACTGGACATTGAGCCATTGACCACAACTCTTTGCATGCAGCCATCCATCCAGTTCTTTATCCACCAAGTGGTCCACCTATCAAATTGATGTATCTCCAATTTAGAGACAAGGAGACCTCATAGCAGCCTTCCAGTATCTGAAGGGGGCCTATAGGGATGCTGGGGATGGACTCTTCATTAGGGACTGTAGTGATAGGACAAGGGGTAATGGGTTAAAACTGAAACAGGGGAAGTTTAGATTGGATATAAGGAGGAAATTCTTTCCTGTTAGGGTGGTGAGGCACTGGAATAGATTGTCCAGCAAGGTTGTGAATAATCCATCCCTGGCAGTGTTCAAGGCCAGGTTGGATGAAGCCTTGGGTGATATAGTTTAGAGCAAGGTGTCCCTGCCCATGGCAGGGGGGTTGGAGCTTGATGATCTTAAGGTCCTTTCCAACCCTAACTTTTCAATGATTCTGTGTCGTGTGGGACAGTGTTGAACGCTTTGCACAAGTCCAGGTAGATGACATCAACTGCGCTACCCCTGTCCATCAGTTCTGTAGGCCCATCATAGAAGGCCACCAAATTTTTCAGGCAGGATTTCCCCTTAGTGAAGCCATGCTGGCTGTCATCAAGCACCTTGTTGTTTTTCATGTGCCTTAGCATGCCTTCCAGGAGAATATGCTCGAAGATTTTGCCAGGCACAGAGGTGAGATTGACTGGTCTGTAGTTCCCCAGGTCTTCCATTTTCCCCTTCTTGAAAATGGGGGTTATATTTACCTTTTTCTAGTTGTCGGAAACTTCACCTGACTGTCATGATTTTTCAGATGTGATGGCCAGTGGCTTAGCAACTTCATTCCCCAGCTCCTTCAGGACCCATGGATGGATTTCATCAGGTCCCATGGACTTGGGCACATTCAGGTTCCTAAGTTGATCTCAAACCAGATCCTCTCCTACAGTGGGCCCAAGGTCTTCGTTCTCACAGTCCCTGCATCGCCCCTCCAAGACTTGGGTGATGCGGTCGGAGCATTTGCCAGTGAAGACTGAGGCAAAGATGTAATTGAGAACCCGAGGCCTCTCCAAATCCAGGGTAGCCAGTTCTCCTGATAGATTCTGGAGTGGGCCCATGTTGTCCTTAGTCTGTGTTCTATCTGCTACATAATTTTGGCGAAGGAAAGAGTTGTTTGCAGTTTACTTCTCTGGACTGATCCACTGTGCACTTGGATGAGCACAAGGAAGGGTTGAAAAAATGCAGCCATGGCCAGGGTAGCTGCCTTGTAGATTGATTTAGCTCACTGATGAATAGCACCTTTTCCTGTGCTGTGGCTCAGCTGCAGTAACTGAGCATGTATCTAGTCTTAGGCTGCCTCAAGAGATGAAATAAAGCATCTGGGTTTAAGCGTCAAGAAGAGTGACTTAGGAAAATGTGGGGTTTTTTACTCTGCATTTGCTACTTAACTGGTTAAACCAGGGTAACTTGTTGCTGTGCTGTTGACTCATGCCATCTGATACATCTGATACATGCTTTCCCTTGCTGCAAGATACTTGCACAGCATTTCCAAGGGCTTTTTTATTATATTTTTTTTAATATGATGACAATTAGTTATTTCTTTCCTCATTTTTTTTTTCTTCTTTTCTGCGATCCTGGTGTCATTTTGTGTCTGTCAGCACCAGTGGGGGCAGAGTGATGATCTCTTCTGTGCAGATTAAAAACTCATAGGAGTACAGTTAGAGCAGAAAAGGATATAAACCTAAAATGTTTAAAAGGATAGCTTATTTAAAATGGTATATCTTATTACTTTATAGATATATATGTAGGGTATTCACTTCTTTGTATATAATAACAGCCTTAGAAAATACAGTTCTGCATTGATTATTGATTTTTGTGTCTTTCCAAAAGAAGTACTGGCTTAACTCCACAGATATATTGTACACCTGAGCCATATATTTCTCATAGATAACTTAGTAAGTGTAGACCACTGAATTATACTCAAATGAAGTTGCTTCAGTTGGAGCAAAACAAATGTTGGTGTAGATCTGCATTATCTTGTAAGAAATCTTCCTCAGAGTGAACATGTATGCACATACTGCTCTTTAATCTGTTTGCTAATGGATCCCTTTTATGGATGAAGACAGTGTACTCCTTAAAATACATTTTAAAATCAGTAGTTCATTATAAAGCGCAGTTACTTGAATAAAAAAGGTAATTGTTTTGTTGGGGTTTCAGAGGTTTGAATTTGTAATCTGTGCATTTCAGGAGGCCAAGTGTTCTCCAGTGTTGTGTGTTTCTCATTAGGGTAACGTCCTCTGCTAAAAATCTGGAGGTAATTTTTGTAGTGGTCAGTCATGGGTTGGTTAGTGAGAAAGATCCGCCCAAAAAAAGTTCTGGTTCTACTGAGACGCAGTTGTTTTGAAATAGTTTTGAAGTATCATTTGAAGGCAAAATGGAATAATTGTGGGAAAGGATCTTTCAAGCAGCTCATTTTCCTTCTGATGTGCTCAGGGATATGTTTTGCAGATTTTGCTGCGTTTCTTGTTCACTGACAGTTTCTTCTTAAAGTTATGAAAAATAAAGAGTGGTTGGGTGGGAATAATGCAGTCTCCCTCCCCCTGAAAACAGAGTGTTCTTACTACTGCGGCCAATTACATCATTCCCCTCATGTATGAGGCAGAACAACTGGGTTCTAATTCCCAGAAGAGCTCTGAGAAAACAAAAACGTCTGTATTTAAACAGTCTGTTGTCATCCTTACATTTGAAACATAAGGCCTTTTATTGGCCTTTTATTAATCTGCCCAGAGATCAGGCATGCTGCAGAGGAACCTCCCATGTCTTTCCATACCACTGTTGCTCACAACTGCTCAAAATGTCAAGGCAGGAGAAGCGTGTCATTCATTGCTCCATGCATTGCGAAGCTCCATTTGCCTGCTGCCAATTTTGAATCAGCTGTCATACCAGTTGACCACTTTTTCATCAAGATTGCAGCTGCATTGTATTAGAAGAGAAGCTAACTGGGCGGAAAGGAAAGTGGACTGGACACTATAGTTGCTGAACAGAAACACCTTCTCGAAAAGATGATGGGAAATATGCCCGCTTTTCCACCTTGTGTATGTGAAATGAGAATTTACAGTAGGATAAATTCAAATGCTTGTATCTTGGGGAAAAAAGCAGAGTTGATCTTTCCCAGCCCTATTTACTACTGTTTAATTTAAGATGTATAACATCGTAGAGAAATCTGGGATATAACTGGAATAAATAAAATGAAATTCTTTTGTAATACAGTCAGTTTTAAAAATCTTTCTGTCTTCCGAAATCTTGGCAAGGATTATGTAAAACAATTACTTAAAAAAACCCACCTTGGTTTGGGACCTCTGCTTCTTTACTATTGAAACTACAAGAAGTTGTTTGGTTTTTTTAATAAACACATTACATGGAATTGGCTGGTACATGCTTAAATACCCTGGTTGAAATTTTCTGCTGGTGAGTATTGTCTCCACTGTTTCATCCTAGCATTCATGACTTCAGAAATCTGAGTCGCAGGTTGAGTGAGTTAAATGTTAGGCTCTTTTATATAGCTTTGCTGTAACTATTTAAAGTTATCACCTCCATCTTGGTCCATCCTCTTGGACTGAGATTTCTGTTACTGATTTCATTCTCTGTAGCTCTAATTTTCCCTTGGTTGGCTACCCTTTAATTTTATAATGCATATCATTGGCTACATCTCCTAAAGTTTCTCTGAAATTCTACAGAATGATGGGCTTTTTGTTTTGGTAGGTTGCTGCAACTGCTTCTAGCTGACAAATGTAGAGAATTTAGCTTTCTTCTTTGTTTTCTTTGAAAACTTCAGTGCTTTGCTTTTGGTATTCAGATCTAACAGCCTAGGAAGTTTTGCAGTGGTTGTTAATGATTGGACTTAATGAAAGGTCCTCTCCAACCTAAATGATTCTGTGATTCTGTTCTGTGATACCATCATCTTTCCCTTACTACATTCACTAAGTAGGGAGCTGGCTCTGAGTGCCCTTGGTTGCCTTTCAGGATTATGCTGTCTGAAGACCAAAATGTGCTTAACAGTTCTTCACTGCAGAGAACTTAAGACCTCATGAAGCAAGTTGAAAACATGCTTGAGAAGCTCACAGGGAAAATACTCTTCCTTTAGGTTTAATTGGCCCAAGAAATTACTGAACTTTATCATATAAGACGAGTAGTAAAAAGCTTATTTCAGGAACTTGTTTTGCAGAACATGCCAGCTCTTATTCCACAGAATATGCTGCTTCACTAGCATATGTTTTATAACTTCACTAGAGTAATTTTCAAGATGGTAGTGTGGGGTTAACGCTTATGTGAACCTGTTAGCTGTGTTTTCCAGCTCTTAAGTCTCCTGCCAAAGCAGCATTTGTTTCATACAGATTTATACATCATGGTTCCAACTTCTTTTTTTTTTGTGTGCTAGGTATTGGCCTGGAGTAGAATACATATGATTGCTAGAGAACAGAGTGGTGGTCTGATCTGTTTGGGTTTGAATTTATACCTCTTATAGCATGTTTCTCCCAGTCAGACCTGAATTTGGTTGACTGAGAGTGGAATTTTCAGTAATCAAGCAAATCTGGCTCCTGTCTCATGGCACAGGAAAGGGACCAGCTGAACTCTGCTCATCTGGCTCCTGTCTCATGGCACAGGAAAGGCACCAGCTGAACTCTGCTCATCTGGCTCAGAAACTGTATTGACAGGCTCTAAAAATTCATGAGTCTTCTAAGTGGGCGTTGTTTGTGTTCTGCAGAGTAGAAATCAGCTGAGAAGTGCTAGGAACTAAAAACGGCAATGTTGTTATACTTCCTTCAGAGACCTGGTTTATGTGGGGGTTTTTGGCTAGTTTTTTTTAACTTGCTTAGTGGGTTCAGTAATTCACATATATCTTTTTAGCTTTCCAGAGTCTGTGCTAATAGACCCTGCCCTGTGCCAAGAACTAACTGTATGTAGATAAAGGGTTTTAGTCAAAACATGTTATGTTAGAGTGCTGTAGTTGTAATGGTTTTGCTTCAAACCTGTTCAGTTTTTAATGAGGGCCTCTGTGTCTGAATGCATTGGGATCTATAGAAGATAACTGTCCACTTGTTTATGAAGTTAGTGACTCCCTCTGCTGTCTAGAACAAATTAAACAATTGTTAGTTAGCATGAGCTTTTATTTATAATAAAGATTTCTTGCAAAATAAATGTAACACATTCTTAATGCTTAGCTTTTTGAGAATAGTTTAAAAAAAAGATAATGAAAATGCTTGACTAAAATTGTTTGATGTATCAGTTTTAATGTTGGACAATTTTACAAAAAAAAAAAACATCCTGTCACTTCCCTGTTCATAGTATTTAACAAAGGCGACTGAAACTATATATGGAAGACTGTCGCAAACTTGACATATTAAATCTTCTGCTGCAAAAAGAAGGTTTTAAAGATACAGGAAGAGCTCAGTGATTAGTAGAGGAAAAGGGGCACACATTCAGCAACAGTAATGTCCTCACAGGAGATTTGTTAACAGGCTTACAATCTGTCAGTATCTTTAAAAGAATATAGTAAGGGGTTGAATAACAATGATATAATGTCCATCGCTTTGAACATACACATACTTGGTTTTTTTGTGTAGCAGAAACATTACCTATAGAGGAAAACAGCACTTCCAAAGAACACCGATTTTCTGAGGACTCTCTGGATTCTGCACATAATTCTGTAAATCCTTCAAGCCCAACCTGTCGAAATTCCACAGAATATCGTGCTTCAGGGAGTGCTGCATATTACAGAAATTCCCATCAGTCAGTGAATGCTACCTCACATTCAGCCCCAATCCTGCGCAGGCTGTCCTTGAGCTCTGCTGGGAGCAGCGGTTACTATGAAGTTAGTAGGAATCGAATGCAGAGGCGGATTGAAGGTATGCTATATAACGAAATTTTCCTAAATATGTAAATGCTTTTGTTAACATACAAAGTCTGTGAATTATGAATAAAGAAGCTCTTTGCCATAAAAAAAAGCTTGCATATGGAATGAAATGTCCTATTGCCAAGCATGTCAGGCTTGCTAATGTAACTGCAAATACAGAACTGAAGACTGTTAGAACTAACACTGCAGTGCAAGCTGGTGGGGGGGGTCTTGCCTGCTGCACCTTCCTCTCACTGCTGTTATGGACCCTGCAGCAAGGCAGACTGGAGAGGGCCAGCTATATGCAGCTCACTTTCTGAGCATCTTGTCACCGATTTCTGTGTTGTTGAAATATGGGGAGAGGGTTTCCTCCTGTCCTTCCCGCTGTCTGCACAGCTTAACTTGCTTTTGCCATGTTCCCAGTTAATGGCATCTTGGGACCCAGGAGCCAAGTATAACTCAAACTAATCCCTCTAGGTGTGTCATAGTGCTAATGTTTATGCTGCTGTAAATATGTGTATTTATATAAGGCATTTAAAGACAAATGGAACAGCTCAATGTTTGGGGGAAAATAAAACATCTTTCATTTTTATATACTACAAAGAATGCATAATAAAAGCCACATGTTAATATTAAGAATGTCTTACGTAAAATGAAATGTATTATCCATGTATAGACTAGTGATACTTCTTCTTTTCACAATATTTTTATACTAAAAGCTGCAAGTTCCACAACTGGGCCAGATTTGAATTCACTAAAAAGGGAACCTTCAAGAATATTGAATAAGGATCCTTCCACCTGGTCAATAGAAGAAGTAATGCGTTTTGTGAAAGAAGCTGATCCACAGGCACTAGCTCCACATGCAGAACTCTTTAGGAGACATGTATGATGCATATCCATTCTGTTCTAGTAGATTGTGTGTCACATTAATCTCCCAAAATACAGCTTCCATCTCTATCACTCTATTTGCAATTGAAGGTAGCATAGACTCTACTCATATATTAGAGGGAGGCTGAAAATTATTATTCCACCTGAAACTCCTCCTGCAGTATATCTTCTCTGTGTTCCTGTCTTGTTACACTAAATATCCACTGCTTTCCAGTTTCTGTGGAGTAACACTAACACTAGAAGCATCCAAGTTCTAATGACCAACATCCATAGTGCCCCTGTCATCTCTGGTACCTCTAGAGGAGATGGCATCCTCATGTACAGTTTGGGGCATTTGGTCTACCTACACATCACCTAAGAGTTTGTTTTGGGGGCTGATTATCCTAAAGTAGAGGCTGTTATGCCTCTTTAGCTTTACATTTGGCCACTAATACTAGAATTCAGAGAATCAGTTGAAATGCTGAATTAGCCTGTTTTAAAAAAAACTGTGTAGGGTTTTGTAAGATTTAATTAAATGTTGTCTTTAGATAGGTGAACTTTGTTGGTTTCTCTGTGCTGTTACTGGTCTCTCCTCTTCCTTCTCACTGTGCTTTTCTATAGCATGTTGCTCAGCAAAAAGCTGCTTGCTTATTTCATTGTATATACAGCCCTTCAAAAAGAGGTTGGCTTTCTCTTTAGTGTTTTCCACACATGTTCTGCACCAGCTTCTACTAACAGTTAAATCTCAGGGTAAGCTGGATTGGACAGAAAACTGAAAGAAACTTTTAATGGAGCTTCCTGTCTTATGTTTTATTCTTAGTTGTATAACAAGACTAAATGTCACTTGTTTTGTCATGTTTATGTTTAAAAAAATTAGACAGACTGGTTTTCTTTATGGTGTTTTAAGGAACTAATTGCCTGTCTACAGTATGTAATGCTGCTAAGAGCTTAGTACTGTCACATTTCAGCAGCTCCTCAACCAGGCTGTTGAAATCTAAGTTGTCCTTGGTCTTGATCCTAACAATCTGTCTAGTTTAACCTGGACAGAGATCTGTCTTACTTCACATATTTAGATGGTCTGTAACCCCTTTCTCTGTGTGACTGTTTGCATGCGCATGCCAGAATCCTCCCACAGCTGTGTTCAAGGTTCAGTGCAAGGCCTCAGTGCTTGGATCATTTAATCTCTAACTGCACAGCCCTTCCTTTGCAGCTTCCTTTTTTTTTTCCCTTTGACCCATTCACTTTTTTTTCCCAGCCAGTACCTAATTTTGAGGGCTCTTTGGTCTGTTTCTTTTGCCTACTGTAACGTTGTCTAACTTATCAAATACCTCAACCATACATTAAAAAAAATACTAACATGAATTCAGTTTCAGTGGCCACCTCTAAATATCAAATTGTACTACGTTGCAAAGTTTTATATCAAGTAGATAACCTTATACTATAGGATAAACAAATGTAACGTACTTTCCAGTTTTACCAAGCAGCTTGTTAAAGTAGTTGTGTGTTGTGTTTCTCCTCTTCCTTCTGTAGGAAATCGATGGGAAGGCACTACTTTTACTGAGGAGTGATATGATCATGAAATATATGGGACTGAAGCTGGGGCCTGCCCTAAAGTTGTGCTACCACATTGAAAGACTTAAACAAGGAAAGTACTAGCCTGTAGGGATGTACCACAAGTACGTGTGTTTGTTTCGCACTAAGCTCTCAGGTTCACAGCCATAGCCTTTGGAACAATTTTGCTGATCTAAATCATCTTTATTTTTTGAAAGTGCTCTCACAATGTAAATAAGACATTCAGGATAAATGGGGGAGGGATATAATCTGTATTACACTCTAGTATTTTGTGAACTGTTTCAGAAGGTTTGCAGGGAAGGACAGTTGATCATACTGGGGGCAGGCGGGTCAGGTGACAGTGCTCTTCCAATCCTGTGTTCTCTGTTACAGACTTCAGCCAGTGTGTTCGTATTCACAACCAAAACAGCTGAATCCCAAAGCAAAATAATAAAACAAACCAGCATCAGGTGTTAGCAATTTTTACAGGAGACGCTGTAAACTTTTTATTTTGCAGGAAGAATTTAGAACAGAAGGTCTCATCTCAATAGTGAATACTGTGTCTAGTCCTCCAGCAGTGTAAGACTCAAGTATATTATTCTAGATTATTCTTCCTAGATTTCTGTAAAGGAAGTAGCCATATGATTTGTTCATGGGGGATGGAGGTGTGGGGAGGTTAGGGTTATGGAGGATAGGGCTTAATACAAATACAAGCTTTTATAAAGTTTGCTTCTCAGTCCTTTGCTAAGTTATGAGGACAACATATTGTCAATTTATGCAGGGAATAAATACTTTTGTTTCATGAAAGGGCATATTGGCTGTTTAAACAAGCCATTTCTGGGACAGACTGATTTCACTGGAACAACGCATCCACATTTTAAACATTCCATTTTTCTGCCAAGTATGGCATGGATATGTGTGTTCATGCTCTTTATATATACATTTGTATGTGTCAGGGAAATATATACTATATATATATATAAATATACATACACACTGTATGTATGTATTCAGTTTTTTTAATGTGTACTTTGCACTCTGCCAGAGAAAATGTACAATTTCTTGTTGGGTTTTTGCCAGTAAATTTGGTTGTGTACTACTTCCATACTCATTAGCACCTGTTTATTTTTTTTTCATTCTTGGAGTCAGAAGGTGACAAACAATCAAAGGGTGGGTTTATTCATACAGGCAGGATTCCTGTACTATGCAATACTCTTGGTTTTTCATCCCTTAACTCTGAGCCATATATTCTGGTATATTTCTGGTAAGAGGCATTTGGTTCCAGTGGTTTGGGCTTATATTTCCTATTAGGAAGTGCTACTATGTAACTAATAAGCCTTTTTTTGGGTAAAACCGGTGCTGTTTGTATAAGCTGCAAGAATGAGTGGTGATAATATAGCAGTTTGTTGTCACTGCCGATTGTAATGTACATCAGGGACAAGAAAATATATTTTCTGTGTAGGAAACTGAATGTACTGTATGTAATAGTGTGAGTGATAAAAACTATTTCCTAGGGAAGGTCTAGTCTTAAAATGGTAGATTTGTATTTCTTACTGCCTTTTTATATGAAAGCATATAGTATAAAAGTATTTTTTACAAATTCCTTTTCTGAAAATGCCTTGCTTTACCAATAGTCTGATATTCCTCAGGTTTGAGCAGAGATACTGCTGCAGACTGATTTTTGTGGCTCATAAGTGTCCCAAGTATTTTGTTAGTTTAAGTGACTGCAACGTAATTTGAATTTATCAAGTCATTTGGATTTTGAGAACTGTTTTTATTATTACATCATTTGACACTAAAGGTTATCTATATCGATTTGTTTTGCATATCTTTTGTGGTGCATATATGCTTAGATGAGTAATACAAGCATGCCCTTTTTAGTAAGAAAAGGTCAGAGCATTAATTAAAGAAACAGAATGTTTTCTCTTTCTGTTAGGAAAATCCTGACTTGATTGTCGGCATAACCATATGAAAGTTAGTTATGTGCTGACAAAAACATCATGCCCCACATGTTCAGTATATTGTCTATACCTTGCTTCTTCCATCCTGTATTATGTTGATTTTCAGAGTTCTTCAGTGTAAAAAGATCTCACACAGTTTAAGTGGAAGTAATTGACTGAAAACAGTTTTCATTTTTTACGTTGCCATTGGCATAAGAAAAACAAAGATGTTTAAATTTTCTGTTTGCCCTTTATGGAATGACATTTTTGTACATGGCACTATTTTGAGTATAAATATTTGTTCAAGGCTTTCTGTACACACATATGCACAGGGATTACTGTGATGTTGCAGTGCCTGGATTTCACAGTGTGCTGTAGCATGAGATTCAAGTGTTCAGTGTTGTAGCAGAATATATTTTTTATTCTTTATTTCCAATGGGATGTTCTTATCTATCAACAAAAATAAAATAGTTTGTTCATTGTTGTAACTGTTTTGTTTGACATTGTATATATACTAGATATATGTATCTCTATGTGAGCGCTGTTCGCGTAGGCAAGGGAAGCTATCTTATCTGGCATTTGGCAGTTCTTGACAGTTCATGTAAACATCTGATGTAAGGAAGCTTTAATCAAAAGGTTGAAATCATCCCAACATTGTTTATCTAAAGCAATTCATGTTTGAGCTTTGGTTAGTCTATGCTTTCAAAGTTATAGTTTAGGAATATATTCTACTGTTTTGTTTTGCATATCAAATTTTGCCACTTACAGCTCACAAAACTGTCATATAACCACTGAGGGGAAGAGACTGCTAAAAACTGTCCTGTGTTCAGATGAAGACCTGAAGTATTTCAAACTGAAGGAATTAATGGCAGTAGGTTTGAACTTCATACACTTCATGCTTTCTTACTTCTACGAACAACAGAAATCTGTTGTTCTGGTTGCTGTTCGCAGTGATCAGCCTGTGCTTGAGAAGTAACTGAAATTGGGTTAATGGTAACCTCAGAAACTTCACAGGCAAATTACGGATCTTCGGAGTTGGTAGTGACAATAGTTCAGAGGCATTTTGCAACTGATTTCTTTCAAAAGATACTGAGTATCTTTTTTTGGTGAGTATTTAATACATGATGTTCTCTGAGTTGCTTTTCTACTGACAGGGATTCATCTGTTTACCTGGTTCTGTATCTTTCAGTCGTCTTGCAAGATGGTGCTGTAACTTCTCAGTACATCATAAGACCTCTTCTATTTGAAATTAAAATACTGCTGCCTAGCAGCTCTCACAGTTCTTGTTGTAGAAGACCTATGCAATATTGAAACTGAAGAATGCTGCATGGCAGGGTGATTGCATGTTGTGGTTGACATGACTGCATTTTTAACAAGTCTGTTATGGCTGTATATATAGTAGAACTTTTTCAGGAATCATGGTGAAGACAGAAAAATCATGTTATAAATGTTGGCTCAAAGGATGGAGTATGAGGATATGCTCTGGCCATCATACAGATCATTAATGAAGATTTTAAATGGGATCAGACCCAGTACTGATCCCTTGGGTACACCACTAGTTACTGGCTTCCCACTAGACTTTGTGTCACTCATAATAGTCCTCTGGGCCCAGCTATTCAGCCAATTTTCTATGCACTTCCAACCTATGCCTCAACAGCTTGTCTGTGAGGATCACAGGATGGGAGACAGTGTTGAAGACCTTCACGAAGTCCAAAGAGACAATATCTACTGCTCTCTCACATCTGCTAGGCCAGTCATTTCATCATGGAAGCTTATTAAGTTGGTGAAGCATGGCTTCCTCCTGGTGAAGCCATGCTGACGACTCCTGATGACAGTCATCTGGTTCACGTGCCTGAAAATGATTTCCAGCATTAGTTCCTTCACGCTGAGGTGTGGCTGAGTGGCCCATAGTTCCCTGGGTTGTTTTCCTTGCTTCAGGCACTTCTCCCATTCACCTTTATTGATCAGAAATTACAGAGAGTGGCCTCGCAATGTCATGTGCAGGCCACTTTCCCATCTGCAGGACAGTGGCCCTCAGCACTCATGGGAGCATCCCATCAGGCCCATTAGACTTAACTATGTCCAGTTTGCTTAAGTATTCCCTGACCTGTGCCTTTTCCACCAAGGGTCCATTGTTCTTGCTTCAGCCTTTCGCCATGGTTTCTGGGACCTGGAATTCCTGAGGGCTGGTCTTGCTATAAAAGGTTGAGGCAAAGCAACCATTCAGTACTTCAGCCGTTTCCATGTTGTGTGTAACGAGGTACCCTGTCTCATTCAGCAGTGGGCTCACATTTTCCCCAGTCTTTCCTTTTCACCTGTACAGTGTAACCTATTTCAATGCAGTATCATGTAATAAAACACATTTTAAAAGTGGATAGCACTGTTGTTTTCTTTAATTGGATGGTGAGTTTCATTTGCTCAATGAACACTTAATTCCAACGTTAGACCTGTGAACCTGTTCTAAAAGTTCTGACCACCTTTCTGCTGTTCAGGTTGAAGCTATGTAGAGTTAGGCTGGCTTGGTTCAAAGAAAAAGAAAAAAATGAGAACCCCTAGAGATCAATTTCAAAGGTCATATATTCCTCCTCTGCTTTTTTTATTACATGTAAAACTACTACAGTGAGTAAAAAGTGCTCATTTGGAACTGCCTGAGAGTGACGCAGGGAAGCAGAAGCTGGTTTCATGTCCTTTTCAGTGGTGAAATGATTGCTGCTTTTTTTCTCAAGCCCTGATTATAATCTTTCGCTCTGTAAAGCTTACGAACTACCCCGTAATCCTGGGATCGTGTTCCCCAACTGTCTGTATTCCTGTTGTTTCAAAGGTCATGCAGAGCTATTCTGAGACTTTTATCTTCTTAAAATCCAAACCGTCTGTTGTAAACTCACTGTGTTTTGAGTCTGCAACTGAGACATTTTATATCTGTTATTTTTTTTATCTTTACAGTAGGAACCTCAGGCATAGTTTGTTGGTGATTTTTTAAAATACCAAAATATTTTGCTGCTTTCTCGTCTGACAGTTCATCCTAAATAAATTCTCATTTCTGTGGCTGTGTAGATAATGTGAGTCCTATGTGTGCTTAAGATATGCCATTACAGTGGTCCAATAGGCTTTTAAGTCCTCCACTTGCATAAATCATCCATCCTTGTCCTAGCAGATCATTTTGATTAGCTGTAATTTGTCCCATTTGAATCAGAATTAGCCTCACCAGCTCCAGAATCTCCCAGTCCTCCTGTACAAGCTGAGGAGTGAAGGAGCTGCTTCTCCTTGTAGCTTTATGGACCACTGCTAGTTTTATTTCAGCTTTCACTGTCTTCGGGGGAAGTGTTTAGTGCTGATAGCAGAGGCTGCACAGCTCTACTTCTTTTCTTTTTCAAATACACAAAGACATTTTCATCCACAGAGATTCACTTTGCAGCCTCCGAAATCGAAGCTATTCCAGGACAAACAGTACAAGCAAACAGATGCCAGCACATGAGAAAAGGGAGATGGCATCCCATGTTGTGTGAACAGACAAATGGGAACAGATGTACAGCTTGAAGCTGGCAGAACCCCTCTCTTCCAATGGTTCCTTTCTAGTTCTGACAGCTGGAAGAAAATGAATACACCACAAAACCACCATGATAATTGCCATTTCCTTGCATTGGCAGTCTCAGCACCAAGATCGAGAACTGGAAGGACAAAGGCTCATCTACCCTCCCAGGTGGAAGCTGAGGCAATTGGCAAGGCACTGGGAAACATCTTAATAAGTGGTGGCACACCGTTAGAAAGTGTGGTGCTCAAATGAAAAAGGCTATAATTTTACTGTGTTTCTCCCTTTGTCGTAGTTAGCTTTTTTCAGTTTATGGAGGCACTCAGTTTCCCCTGGCAATTGTGTTAATGCTGTCCAGATCCCTAAGAGTGGGGGTTTCAAACAGACCTGAACTCTTCTCTCAACTTCCATCTCTCCAAACCACTGCTGCCAAACAAGTCTTCCCCTTATTGGAGACCCTTTTGAGGGAAAGCTCTTTGCATGTGCTTCTCCTGCGTGTTTTGAAAAATAAGAAAGGGGCTCTGCAGCTTGTTTGTTTTATCATAGCAGCTATTGCTGCTGTTCTCATTCCTTGCCTGGGAATGTTGATGGTACTCTCTTGCAAGCAGATGCCTCTCACTTGGGCCATGTTACTCAAGGTGTGTTCTATCAAATGCTTTTGTCTGTCCCTCTCTAAGTCCCTGAGCTTTCATGAACAATATAGTGGGGGTGGAAAAATTAGTAAGTAAGTGCTCAGTTTTAGTCTACCCTTGATTTATGCTAGTACTTTCAGGGCGAGATACTAGATAGGTCATTGGAATGTACTTGGGGCATATCGCTTTTTAGGCTCAGTGAGCAATGGTGGGGTGTATGTTTTTGGTTGTTTTGGGAGGGGGTTGTTAGTTTGTTGTGGGTTTTTTAACTGAATTCTCTCAGTTGTTTGTTTATTTTCAAGAGACCAACTCAGCAAAAAGGAACATACTACTTTCATACATCTTTGCATTCATTATAGTGTTAATTGTAAACTGTCTTTGCCTGGGTGGTGGTTGGCTGCAGGAAATGAACAAGTTGGGGAAAGTTTAAATGTTTTGAAAGAAAACAGAAATGGAAGCCTGGGATGACTGATAGGGTTTTCATGCAATAAACATGGGAAGGAAAAATATATGAAGAATGAAGTAATGGAAAATCATAAAGGAGAAAACCAGGTGGATATACTAACTTAAACTGTTTCAGATTTGGATGCACTGACTGTTGAGTCATGACTAGTGTCTTTGACTGTTTGCATTGAGCTGAGATTTTAAAGAGGAAATTTAGAAATTAACATTTTGAGCCATGTCAGGAATGTGAAGTATTTTATCTTGACATGATTTAATCTGAAAACATGGACTGAATCCTTGTAATTTCCTACCCAATTTTTGGCTCATCCTCTGTCTCTGAAGTGTTTCTTCCCAACTGAATGAGCTGCTGCTACCAACTCCTTCTTGATGTGATTTCTTTTAAAGCCAAGCCAATTGAAGAGCCAAAACCTAGGAATACAGGATTGGGTTTAATTTCATATAATTTCATGTCTTTATATCATAGTTGTTTACACTCTCTCATTGTAGTCCATAGAAATCTAGCTGACTGAGTTGAGGGTATGAGTGATCGGATCACATACCAGCATCTGTTTTACAAGGCAATGAATAGCTCTCTTGACTCTCTTGGTTTTGCTGACTGTATTTCCAGTATCTATAATGGGACCCTTGATACCCATCTCACTTAACTGCAACATGTGAGTTAATTTGCCACCTAAAGTGCGGTTCATTTCAAGTAAGATGGAACAATGCCCTTACGTGAGTCCGACACTGAAGGACCTAGTTGGTGTACCGAACAAAAAATGCTTGCAGGTCCTGTGGTCCACCACACAAGGGTTCTCACTCAAAAGTCCTGATGTCCAGAAAAAAGTCTGTCCATAGAGAGTATTTCTGCTCTCTTGGTTGT